ATCCCCCTGCCAGCTATGTCTCCCCATCCTGGTCTATGAGCTCCTTGGGATTGACCTGTGAGGCCAAGCCCTCGGAAGCTGGGCAGGGCTCTTAGGCCATCAGCTCTCTGCTCCTCCATCTCCTCACCCTGCAGGGTAGATGAGGTGAACTGGACCACCTGGAACACCAACGTGGGCATCATCAATGAAGACCCAGGCAACTGCGAGGGCATCAAGCGCACCCTGAGCTTCTCCCTGCGGTCAGGCCGAGGTGAGGTATAAGAGAAGGGGTGCTATGGCATGTTGAGCAGGTGAAGCCTTGGGGTTCCCCATTTCTTGCTGGCCTTCCTCACCCCGCAGCCTGAGCACTGGAATAGCCCCAAGTGTCACCCACCTGCACACACTTAGTCACGGACACCCTTGTGTGCTCTCATGCACATCCACACAGCTGACTGCACCACGTGCCCATGCACGCTGGCTCTGCCAGCACCCGTGGCTCAGGCACCTGTCCTCAGTGCCCAGGGGAAGCAGCTCGGCAACCTGGACGGCCAGCCTCATTGTGAGCTGTTCTGTGGTCTCTGCCCCGTCCCTCACACCGAGTGTCTGCTCTAAGCATTGTGAGACATAGGGACACAAACAGGGACGTGCGAACACTCATGTGTGGACTCATCCAGGCAGGTAGAGGAGGGAAGAATGGGAGGTTTGGCCTGAACCGGAAAACAACCTTTTTTACAGTTAATGGTACACATTTAACAGTAGACATTAAATTAAAGGTCTAATTGAACATATTCACTTAAAAATGAAGCTAACCTAGCTTATGCTGAACACATTTTGAACTATGATCACAACCCCACACGAATTCTTTGTTTTTCATTTTTTAAAGATTGGTAAAATATATATGACATAAAATTTGCTGTTTTAACTGTTTTTTAAAGTGTATAATAATTATTAATTATATCCACAATGTTGTGCAACCATCACCACTATCTGTTTCCAAAACTTTTGCATTATTCCAGACAGAAACTCTATACCCATTAAACAATTACTCCCAATTTACACGCCCCGCCACCCACCGCTGGTAACCTCTCTTCTACTTTCTGTCTCTGTGAGTTTGCTAAGTCTAGGTACCTCATACACGTGGAATCATACATTCTTTGTCCTCTTGTGTCTGGCTGAATAACACTCCACTGTATGTATACGGTACACCATATTATATTTATCCACTCATCTGTCGATTGACATTAGGATTGCTTCCACCTTTTTGGCTATTGTGAATAATGCTATGAATGTCAGTGTATAAGTTTTTGTTTGAATCCCTGCTTTCAATTCTTTTGGATAGGAGTGGAATTGCTGGATTATATGATAATTCTGTTTACCTTTTTGAGGAACTGCCAAACTGTTTTCCAAAGCAGCTACATCGTTTTACATTCCCACCAACAATGCATGAGGGTTCCAGATCCTCACCAACATTTGTTCTTT